TTGATACTGCATTGCTTAAGTGGTTTGGGAGTACCTGAGGGTCGGATATCCGAAACAATCTCTTTCGAAGATCGAATATCGAAAAAGCGCCAGAGTCAGGCGAGTCATAGGAGGATCAGCTCATGGTGTTCGTTTGTACCACGTTGCCAACATGTATACAAATTTTCTTTGTATTTCTGTAATATTTGTATTTTGTTTGTGCGTAACTTCCTCTTTTCAGGAGTTGCATCCAGTGTACAAAATTTTGCCTATTTACAGGCCCGTTATCAATAAAGCATCTTATTTAGTACTTGATGCTTGTTCTTTACTGTTTTGTTTGTGAAAAACGCCGATCTTTTTTATGAACTTGCATGTGCATAAACTTACTGGCCCTTGCCAATAATTGCTAAAACTTCGAATTGACTGAATGAACGTCACAGATACTAACCGGAATAGATCTTGTTGTACAAATTTGTTTTGCCTCGTGTATGTTTTGCAGGGTTCTCACCTTTGAAGCATACAATGGATAGCATAAACAACCAAAAACCCGGAAGTGTGTATAAGTGGGATCCCGGTGATATAAAATATGTGTAGGTGACTTGTGATTAAGAGATTTATGTGGGAGAATATTTAACAAGTAAGTTGCCACTTGAAGAGCATGATGCCAAAAAGAAGTGGGCATGGAAGAATGGACAAGGAGAGTGTGAATCATGTTATTTATGGTGCGTATTTTTCGTTCTGCTTTACCATTTTGAGAAGAAGTATGCGGGCAAGAGAAACGGAAAATAAGACCATTAGTATCGCAATATTTTCTAAAAGACTCGTTGTAAAATTCACATCCATTGTCACATTGAAAACATTTGATGGTTTTATCAAATTGAGTTTTAATGAGAGAAGTCAAGGATGAAAACATAGAGTAGACTTCGAATTTTTTGCTAATAGGAAAAGTCCACAAAAAATTAGAGTAATCATCTAAGAATAAAACGTAATATTTATGCCCAATTGTGCTTAAAATAGGAGAAGTCCATAAATCGTTGTGCATAATATCGAAAGGCATTAAAGTATGAGATTGAGAAGCATAAAATGGCAATTTAATATGCTTCCCAAAGACACAAGAGTCACAAACAGATTTTGAAAGTAAATTGTTACAACCAATGAACTTATTTTTGCTAAGTGATCGCAAAACAGATGAACCCGAATGTTCTAAACGGTTGTACCATAAACTGGAAGTAAGAGCTGCAAAAGTGGATGGATGGGAGATTGAATAATTATTCGTGATGGGATAAAGATCCTACATACTATCACATCTCATTAGTGGCATCCCCGTCTGAAAATCATTCATAGAGAATCCAAAAGGGTCAAAAGTAATATAAACATTATTGTCAATAGTGAGACGTCGCACAGAAATTAAATTTTTAATAATTTGCGGAGCATGTAGGACATTTTGTAGTTTTAAAGGTTTTGTAGATGTGGAAAGGGTTGATTGTCCATTACCACAGATTGGAATTTGTTGTCCACTACCAACAATAATATTTTGATTTGAATTATTCATATTAGAATAAGACGAGAGATTACCTTGCGATGCCGTCATATGAGAATTTGCTCCAGTATCCATATACCACTGGCCATCGGGAGGATTGAGGGACATGGTGTGCATTACGACTTCAATATTTGTGGGTGCTAGAGAAGGAGTGCTAGCTGCATAGGCTTGCAGACGTGGACCTAATAGTCCTGGTTGCTTTGGAGGACCACTTGGGCGAGTCCATTGAGAAGACGAATATGGGCAAGGAGGGAGTCCCCATGGTGGTGACATCCAACCCCATTGATACTGCTACCAGGGAGGGGGAGGAAACTGCCACTGTGAGGTGTTGGCTTGTAGGGACGGTGGAGCACCACCACGTCCGCCGCCACGTTGACCACGTCCACTGTTTCTACCGTAACTGTTTCGGTTTTTATGAGTAGAATTTTGGCTGTTATTCTTCTTGTCGTCGCATTTATCATTATAGGAGGAGGGTTCAGTAACATCCTTTGGTTGTGTCGCAACCATGGCAGCCAGTGTGCCGGTAGCCGCCATCTTAATTAGATCGGCTTCTTCAAGAGTAAGCATAGAGCGGGCCTGATAAAATTGTGGAAGAAGGTTGCTTTTCCGAATTAGTGTACCGACCCCTTTGTATGCATCAGTGAGACCAGAAACAAGTTGGAGAACGAGTCGTTGATTAGAGATAGGGGCTCCAACGTTCTTCAATTGGTCAGAAAGTGTTTTGAGTCGCTGACAGTAAGCGGAAGCGGTGGGAAAATCTTCCATGCGAACGGATGAAAACTCCTGCTCGAGAGTGACTGCACGAGCATTTTGATTGTCCTGGAAGATGTTGGTAAATCAATTCCAAGCCTCCATGGAAGTGGAGTCTGTTTCATTGATGGTAGCCAAAAGATCGTCGGAGATAGTGGAATAAATCCATTATAGAACTATTGCATCAAGAGTCGCCCACAACTCTTACTCATCATCGGTTTCAGGTGTCTTCTTTTCCTTGCCTGGTGCTGGAGGAATGATGTGATGAAGAACCTTATGAGATCGAGCATGGATTTTGAAAAGTTTAACCCACGTACCAAATTGAACGTTTTCCATCTCAAGAACAATAGGGATGTGGTTCTTGATGTTGGTTACGACGAGAGCCGGATGGAAAGGGTTCTTTGGTGGTGAAGACAATTGTGGTGGAGGAGTTACCACATCGGTCGGGATTGACATGATTAGTGAGTAGAGAAAGAAAGAAGAAAAAAAGAATATCGTGTAACAGAAGGTTGAGAGGCTAAGCGGGGCAACCTAGGTCTCTTGATACCATGAAAGGAATTATTTTCCTGTTGTTTTCATTAATCTGTATCCATATATGTACAATGATCATGTGTGACCAATATAGAAGCCTCTTAACTATACATCAATTATTTGCTTAAAATAGATTAGGAAGGTACTGCCTATTCTATGAATGGAAAAGATATACAGATGTTATTACAAGAATATTCTAACAAATATTCTGGTCTTTCAACGAGCATTTGGAATATTTGGAAGGCGAGGAACAATAAAGTATTTAATAACAATGAAGTGGATCTAAGTAAGGTGATGGAGAACATAAAGCTTCATTCTTGAAATTGGTTGAAAATTAAAAAAAGCAACATTAGTGTTAACATCTCAGCATGGTGGCGGTGTCTGATTATTAGTCTTTGATACGAAAGGGATTTAATCCAAAAGGCTCAAAAAGTTCTGCACTTTGTATTGGTTATAGGAGTAACCTTTGTGGTCTGAATTTGAGATTTACTTATATTTAGTGGAGAGTTTCTAGGCTTTAGTATTGTATCGAATGTATCAGACACTCCATCGGGTTTATTGCGGTTTCTCTAGGCAGATTTATGTCTTGTTTCAGGGTGCAGAATAACGGGCGTGTGATTGTCTGCAAGAATTGGAATTTTTCTTGTTAAGGCAGATAATTCTGCTTCAACCATTTTGGACTGATATACTGATAGATTTATTTAGGTGGGTTTGCTTCATTCTGTTGGGTGTTCTGGTGTATGTTTATTTGTTCTGGGTGTTGTGGCTTTTGATGTATGTGTAGTTTCAAAAAGGCTTGCAGTTTGTGGTATGTACTTGCAGCCTTGCTATTGTATTTCTGTTTTAGTATGTAATAGGCAAGTCTCATGCCTTTATCTAATAAAGTTTTTTTGCTTGTCCTAAAAAAAATTCAAAGTTGATAGTAGAATAGATGATTTAGACAAGCACAAGGGATGGAATTTTTTTTCTTTCCTGCCACATTTTTACAAGATATTATCTAAAATACCATATTTTTAGACATATATACCAGAATGCCATCTTTTCAATTTTTGGTACAACAGTTCCGCCCTTCCAATCGGCGGCAACGTGCTGCTGATTTGAGAGTCGCCCTTCCAATGGGCGGCAATGTGCTACTGATTTTTTTTTTTCGTTTTAATTATTATTGTTTTTTATTTATTATATTTAGTTAATAATAAATAATAATTGTTAAAATAAAATAATTATTAAATAGATAATAATATAATAAAAATAATATCAGAATAAAAAATATAAATAGATAATATTTAGTTAATTATTATATTTATTATATTGTTTTTTATTTATTATGTTTATTATATTTAGTTAATAATTATTAAATAGATAATTATAGTAAATTAAAATAAAATAAAATAAAAATAATTCTTTTAAAAATAGTTCTAATTAAAATAAATCACTACATTGAAATATATAATAATAATTATAAAATAAAATACAATAAATAAACTAAAATAAATATTTATTTATTCTTGAAATAAAAAAGTACATTAAAATAAATGAACTAAAAATTCCTATTCACCCTTAATTAATTTCGACCTGGTCGACGTAAGCGTTGGTGGGTTCCACAGGCAGGAGCTTGTACATTTCTGGTGGACCTTTTACGATCAACCTCAACGTTTTGGGGTCGTGTAGATGGTCCTGCATCATTGTTAGGGTTCATGAATTCAGCGACCAAATCATCATTGAAATTGTCGACAGTTGGTATCGCCGCTGCACTTTCATAACTTAATCTTGTACCCTTGTTACTCCAACTTGGTAGGTTTAAAGGTGGCATTGTGTTAGTCATGTAGGGGGTGTATGGATGTTGGTCTTGAGATGAATTAAGGGTGAAGTTTTGTGAAGGGACAAAAGAAACTTGTGGTTGGGTTGTTTGGTAGTTGTGTTCTTGTTGGGTAGGTTGAGAGAATGAGTATTTGTTATATTGGGGGTATGATGAGGTTGGGTTTTGTTGTTGGATGTTGAAGGGGGTTGGGTTAAATGATCATGGGTAAGGTTGATTGTAGTGTTGGCTTGGGGTATAAGGTGGTTGTGTTGGGTTGGGGTTGAATGTTTATTGTGGGGTGTTAAATATTTGTTGTGGGGTGTTAAATATTTGTGGTTGGGTGTTACAAGTCATGGAGGGGATGTTTTGGAAGTTTGATGAAGTTGGTTGGTTTCGAGGGTCCTACAAGTATCTATTTTGTGATAGATCCAAATTGGTCACAGATCTATACCAACTCATGTATTCCCTACTAGGTTTACATTCGGTATCCATGACATTTCCTCGTAGAACAGTGCGACGACGATTTATCCAGTGCTGACGTTCTTGTCTGTTATGGTCTCTCCAATTATCGAATTTCCATTGGTCGTTCGTTGTACTCTTGTGGTACCTTTCCATGCATGTAGGTGGACCAGGAATGTCTTGTTTAATTCCAAATTGGAGTTTCACCCTATCTGAATGATGCATTTCAACATAAGTGAAAGAAAATATGAATGTTGTAGAACTCCACATATTGCTTTCAGTTGGATCCTTATCTTCAAGCTCAAGATAGGGTCTCCATAGAAACTATAACATAATTAAAAAGGGATTAGAGAAAAAAATGGAAAGTGCTAGTAAAAAAATAAGGGATTAGAGACAATACATCATCTTCCTCAAAATGATCGAAGAACGTCCGATACCCAGGAGCACAATGATGCAGAGTTTTTTCATAATTCATCCCATACGCGGACCACCTATGAAAGAAATAGTTAGTAAAAATTATAGATGAAAAGAATATATACATAAACTTTGTTTACTTACTTGGTTGCGTATGGAAAGTGATATGGATTGGGGTTGATCGGCGACAGTCTGGGCATTCTGGACCATCCCCAGGCTTGAATCAAGGACAGGAACCTACGGAAAAAAATAATTAACATGGGTAACTATATTTCATAATATTCATTAAATTTTGTTAATAACATATATTATTTTTTTGTACTTCGTTGACTGATATTTTAATTATTCAGGGTACGCTTTAAACCAACCAACATTTCATTACTATCGGTCAGAGATTGACATGGCAAATGCAGATGCTTTAAGGTGGATTGACAATGTTCCAGCCATAAAATGGACAAGGGCATTTGACGGGGGTCGACGTTGGGGTCACATGACTACCAACCTTGTCGAGTCAATGAATGTTGTCTTTAAAGGCACACGTAATTTGCCCATTACAACATTGATAAGGGCAACATATTATAGACTGGGATCTTTATTTGCTGAACGGGGTTCAAAGTGGAGTGTTGCGTTGAATTCTGGCGAAACATTTACATACAACTGCCTCAAGGTGATGAAAGAAGAAACAACAAAATCCAGCACACATCAAGTCAGAATTTTTGACTACGCTAACAATGTTTTCAGTGTGAAGGAGACAATTGACCATGGTGAGTTGAAGCCTATGGGACATTATAAGGTCGACCTCTTGAACGGGTGGTGTGACTGCGGAAAGTTTCAAGCATATCGTGTCCCTTGCTCACATGTTATCATTGCATGTTCAAATGTGCGCCACGACGCTTACGCTCTTTTGTCCGACATTTATAGGGTTACAAACCTGTTTGGGGTTTACAGCACAAGCTTTCCAGTGCTGTTGTACGATGAATATTGGCCCGTTTATGAAGGAGATCAAATTTGGCATAACCCAAGAATGCGAAGGAACAAGAAAGGTCGCCCAGTGAGCACACGTATTACAACGGAAATGGATAACTTTGATAAGCTTGAGAGAAAATGTTCAATGTGTCGTCAAACGGGTCACAATCGAACTCGGTGTTCCAATGTGGGAACAAGTAATCGTTAGTGTTTTTATTAATCATCATGTATTAGATAATATTCGTTAATGATATCAATTAATATAAATTATGTATTAAAAAATATAATTTAATATTATACATTAATTGATTATATTAATATTAACATTATTGATAATATAAATAAATATTAATATTAATAATATCAATATATATTAAAATATTAATAATAATATTAATATTATGTCTTAATAATATTAATATTAATAATATTATTAATACAAATATTAATAAATATTAATATTAATATATATATATATATATATATATATATATATAATATCATTAATATTAATATATATATTAATATTAATAATATAAATACAAAAAAAATATTAATATTATTAATATTAATATTTATTAATATTGATGATATTAATATAAATAAATATTAATAATATTAATATTTATTATATTTATATTATTAATATATTGTTATATATATTAATATAAATAAAACAAAAATAAAACGAAAAAGTAAACAAAATTTATGAGTTGGACTCCGCCGTCCTTTCAATGGGCGGCATCTTTTATATTTACATGCTATTGTCCAATGAATGGGCAATAAATTTCAGTTAATAATTCTAAATTTTTTAAAAGTGTGACATTTTGATATATATGTCTAAAAATGTGGCATTTCAGATAATATCTTATAAAAACATGGTAGGGTAGAAAAAAATTCCAAGGCATGATGATCAGAGATTCGTGATGAGGCAGAAGCCGGCAGGATATTGATGGTTCAAGGCGGAATAGATGTTTCTTTGAAAAACGAGAGCTTTTATCACCTCTCTCTAACGCTATTGACATATACTATAATAATTAATCAAATAGGGTTACTTTACAATTTGGTTGAGTAATGCACATAAGTACTATATTAAATGAGTTTTATTGTTGTTCTAGATCACAATCTCTTTTTGAAAGAATAAAATTTATCTATGAAATGGAATAGCCAAACAAAGGCACACTAAACCAATGAAACAAAAAGATCAGAAAAGGAGTCTATAAAAAGTGAAATTTAATATTTAATATTCAATCCTTAATAGCAATAGAAAGATCAAACATAAGATTTTGAAAGGAGATAATATAACTCAATTTGCTCAAAATAAACTATTAAGAGGAATATTAAGATCTTTAATTGTGGTCTTTTATTTCATTTTTGATTAAAATAACCAAGCACTGCAAACTGCATGTTGTGTTGGGAATTAGCCATATTGGTCTAATCAAAGGTGTCAAGCACTACAAAAAGTTATTAAATTTAAGTTCCAAAAGAATTAAAGGTGATTAATTAATGAGACAAGTTGATTATGTGCAATACTTAATTAATAATTTATTACTGATGAAGTTATCGTTGAAATTGGAATTGCAAAATTGTATGGACCAATTGAAACTGAAAGGCAACCTTTGGGCCATAAACAATTTGCCCTTTCACTATGGTGCAAAGGCAACCTTTGGCTTGTGAGATCAAACCAACCACTTGAAGGAAAAGGAGATTTGTTAAATAAATTCCAACTGTATATCTCATTCAATTTATCGATTTTTATCCACTCCATGAGTACTTTAGTATATTACTATAGATGTGCCAATTGGATCCATTAAAGCAAAATTCATTCAATCATCCATCAAAAAATTCATCAAATCCATCTCCCACATAAAAAATAAGTTAATGGATTGGATTAAATTCATTCATTTATATTCATGGATGGATTTAATCCATCCAACTGTTGGTGCAAAGCTTAATAAAGGAAATATTCTATTAAGAATAACGACTACAAAAACATGATAAAACTTACAATGATTGTCACCCTATTTATAAGCTAAAACTAGGGTTACTAGAATAAGATAAAATACTAAAATACCCTCTAACAAACTTAGGGGCTAAGAAAAAATAGTACAACTAAATAAATATGAATTACTATTAATATTCTAATACCATCCCTTAATTCATATTCCATCAAAACTTGTAACACCAATTCCATCCCTTAGTCTGAGAAATTGATCAGTCTTGATAGCTTTCGTCAGAACATCTGCCAACTGCTTCTGAGTGCTGCAGTGTACAACTTCTAACACTCCACTCTGAACTTGATGTCTCCGAAAATGATACTTGGTCTCAATATGCTTGCTTCTCCCATGCAACACTGGGTTTCTGGCAAGATTGATTGCAGACTTGTTGTCAATCATCAACTTCAGAGGTTTGTCTACTTTAATCTTCAGATCCTGCAACAGATTCAGAATCCACACAACTTGGCATGCAGTAACAGCATCTGCAATGTATTCAGCTTCACAGGTTGACAACGCCACAACAGGTTGCTTCTTGGAACACCAAGAAATGGAACCTCCCAGAAATTTGAACAAGTACCCAGATGTACTTCTTCTGTCAACTCTGTCTCCACACCAATCAGAGTCTAAATAACTCAGAAGTTCTGACTCATTATTTCCTCCAGAGGGAAATAACACTCCATACTTCAGAGTTCCTTTGATATACCTCAGAATCCTGACAGCAACTTGGTAATGGGACCACTTAGGTTTACTCATGAACCTACTAACCATCCCAATTGAGTAGCAAATATCAGGTCTGGTATTGCACAGATACCTCAGAGAACCAACCAACTGTTTGAAGGTTGTAGTGTCCACATCCTTTCCTTCAGAGTCTGAATCCAGTTTCTGATTTATATCAGAAGGTGTGACAGCCATCTTACAATTCTTCAGATCAAATCTCTTTAGAAGTTCTAATTCATACTTGAGCTGATGCAAAATGATACCTTTCTCAGAATATTTGAACTCCATCCCTAGAAAGTATGTCATTTTGCCTAGATCAGTCATTTCAAATTCATTCATTAGAACCTTCTTGAACTTGGCTATCTCCTGTTCAGAACTTCCAGTCAGCAGTATATCATCAACATATAAACATACCAGAGTCATATTGCCTTCAGAAGTATGTTGAACATAGACACTGTACTCCATCTTACATTTCTGAAAGCCTTGCTTCTTGAAAAATGAATCAATTTTATGATTCCAAGCTCTGGGCGCTTGTTTCAATCCATATAGAGCTTTGTATAATCTGTACACCATCCCTTCCTGATTCTTTTTCACAAATCCAGGAGGTTGTGACACGTAAACTTCTTCTTCTAATGGACCGTTCAGAAATGCAGATTTTACATCTAAATGCATCAGAGGCCAATTCCTGTTAGCAACTATTGCAATCACCATTCTGATTGTTTCATGTCTTGCTACAGGTGCAAACACTTCAGAGTAATCCAGCCCAGGTTTTTGTAGAAATCCTCTGGCTACCAACCTTGCTTTATGTTTGCCAATTGAGCAATCTGGCTTTAACTTCTGCTTGAAAACCCATCTGACGCTGATGGCTTTCTTGTCTTTTGGAAGTTCTGTCAGCTTCCAAGTCTTGTTTCTCTCTATAGCATCAAGTTCTTCTTTCATGGCCTTCAGCCAGAGCTTCTGCTTAAGAGCCTCCTCTGTACTTATAGGTTCAGAGTCTACTAACATGGCACACTGAATAACTTCTCCTTCAGAGTCTACTTCAGTGTCTTGCAGCATGTCAAATTCTGCAAATCTTCTGGGAATACTTCTGATTCTTTGTGGTCTCTGAACTTGTTCAGAGTCTTGAGCTTCAGAGTTTCCAGCTTCAGATGGTTGACTTCCTCTAGAGCTTTGACCATCTTCAAGATTTGGCATATTTTCAGAGTCTTGGCCATCTTCAGAGTCTGAATTGCCACCAGAATCTAGATTACCATCAGAGTCTGGATCATCAGAGTCACCTTCATCTTCTGAGTCTTCTCCAGAGTCAGAATCACTATCAGGGTCATAATCAACGTCAGAGTTTACTTCAACTTCAGAAATTCTTAACTCTGACCTTTCTTCAGAAGTTCTAACATCAGAATCAGATTGATACTTATCCCAATTCCAAACTTCTGATTCCTTCACAATCACATCTCTGCTGAATTCAATTTTATTGGTTTCTGGACAATAGAGCTTGTATGCACCTGTACTGTGGTACCCTA